ACGCCTCGCGCCCAGAGGGAGACCCCGACGGCGGAGCTACCCGCAGGTGCGCTCTACCGGCTCTCCCACCACCCAATGCACCCCTGCTACCCACATACTCCCTCCGTCTTGGTGGAGAGCGGTCGCGCGGCCCCGTCCGCGAGCTGGTCAAGTTTCTGATTGAGTGGAACCACGCGGTTCACACCCTCTGGGCGGCCTACACGCAGCGCTTGGGCAGGGAAGTAGTGGGTGATGTTACCGATGAGTCGGGATGGTCACACGAACACCTGGCGCGCTTCCTGGAATCAATCTACGGGGGCGAAATCCCCAGGAATGGTCATCCCCCCCTCATCCCCTGGGACGGACAGAGGGCCGCTGCGGCCAATGTCATCACGCAACTGGTGGGGAGCAATCAGAAGTACCAGGAGGCCTGGCGGTCCTTCGCCGACAAACTCCACAACCAAAATGGGCAGTGCCCCAGCGCCAACCGCTGGATACGCTGAACCGCTTCCTGTCCCAAATGAAGGGCGACCTCGCAGTAGGAACATTAGAGGTCCTCGCCAGCGAGGGCAATGTCGGGAGCACCAGCAGCGAGGAGGGTGATGGATCCCCCGCTGCCGTCTGGCGCAGCGAGACCCCAACAGCTTCACCTGGCTGCACCCCTGACGACGCCCCCCTCCAGCAACCCTGTGCAGCGACACAGGCGGACGGAGAAACAAGGGAAGTGCCATCCCCGTACAGGTATGGATGTGGCAGCGGCGAATACGAAGTCGATTGGGACGAGGACTACCCCCCAGACAGGACCGTCTCCATGGTCGCCAGTCCCACGCAACAGGCAGATGAGACCGACGTCCCCGACCCCAGTGACAACGATGCTCCCCACGGTCGGACAGTCCTGTGGACACAGCCCCCACCAAAGGACGAGTCGGCAACCTGGGCGCCGTTCGCTACTGCCCGCTCCCGGTCGATCATGGAAGAGATCGGTGACGGCAGAGATCTAAGAGGTCAGCCGCAGCACTCCATCTAGATCGGGGAGCAAGTCAGATCGCCGTCAGCACTCCATTCTTGAGGACGCCGCGCTTGAGCGCGATGCCCGTCCGCCACTCCTGAACCGCAGCCCGGGCCGATGGCCCGACCCGCAGGCAGGCCCCCCCCCACCTGCGCGCCGAGACGACCCCCTTGGCGGACTTCCCATGTGCATGAAGCCCATCTGCGAGGCTGACACTAAGGGTGACGAACCAGCCTCAGACAAGATCATCAGGCTTCAGAAGACGCTGGGGGGCGCATTCAACGGGATATGGGCTGCATGGGTTCGTGAGGCAGGCAGCAAGCACGGACGCCCGTGGGTCAACATCAAATCCGACCCCAAGAAGAACACGGTACAGCTATGCGAGGAATTTCTTCTAGCATGGGAAGAAGCAGGCTACGATGCCTACAAGATGGAAGTTGATCACCAGTTCCTGTGGAGTGGCCAACAGTCATGGAGAAGCATCGCAACCTGTTACAGCGCGACACGAGGGCGCGTGCCCCCAAGGGACGCGATAGCGACGGCCGCCCGTATCCATGGGCCGCCAGTAGAATGCCGCGCCAATTCCCCCGTCAGTACCCGACAGGGCCAGTGACCCAACGCGCGCATCCTCCCCAGGCGAGCCCAGTGGAGATGGCCAGCGGTACCCGTGGAGCAAGCCTAGAGTAGCCACGGCTGCCCCGCCTGAGTATGCCGACTACAGGGTTGCCGCGCAGACGGGCGCATCCAGCTCTGCCGCCCCATGGCACCCGCGGCCGCCCTGGGAGGGGTGGGGCCGCCGGGAAAGCTTATGGAGCGGCGCGGACTGGAGTGCCAGGGAGAAACGGACCGCCCCGAGAGGCGACGTACACTATGCCGACAAGCGACAGCGAGGGCGGGACCTCGACCGCAGGTGACGCTGACGACCGGACATGAAGCGAGGCCATTGCTCCAGACCCAGGGAAGGCTGGCCCCGTCATATAACACGCGGCCGTGGGTCCTGGGATGGCGCTGACATGACCCCCCCGGGTCACATTGGCCTTGAGCTGTCCCGGTACAAGGGGGGCTCTCTTCACCGAAGTGACAGGCAGCAGCCTTGATGCCTTTGTCACCTCCTGGGAGTGAGGTGTACAACTCACCCTCTGGCTCCTCTCCCCCCATTATTCAAATGTCCAGCGGCTATCGGCTGCGTTCCTCCTCTCCTTCTTGACGCCCTCGACGACTTGGTGACTGGCCGACGGCGGGTGACGTTCACAAGGCCTGCCCCACGCAGGCAGGGGCCGCCAAGTTGGGCTGGCTCTGGGGACGGAGGAATCCCCCTGGACTGCAACGGCTCCTGGCAGTCCCCCCCTTGAAGGGGAATCGTTTCACCGCGGTGGCAGGCCCTGGCCTCGGTGCCCGTGCTACCTCCTGGGAGAGAGGTGCACCCCCACACTGCGCTTAGACCCCCGCGGCACTCCGTGGGCTCTTATCCCGTGCGGTCGGCTGAAATAACCCCACCCACGGCTCTTTGGCCGCGGTGAGCGCGGGCCCGTGGAGGACCGGGGCGACTGGCTGAAGGCCCCCCCCTAACACTCCACACTTTGAAGTCCGTCGGCTTGCCCACGTGGCTTCCCCCCCCACGACGGCGCCACGCGCTGCGACCCCCCACTTCACGTGTTGGGTCCTCGTTTGGAGGCGTTTGCATCCGACGCCTCCCCTCGATATTCAATGTTCCGCGGCTATCGGCTGCTTCTCCTTTCTCCTTCGGCGCCACCATGACGGAGAGGCGACAACGTGCGGTGGATCTCTGGCCATTCCCGGGGCACTTCTTGGGGATGAGGTGTTCCCTCTCACACTGCGTGGTGCAGCCCCAGAACCACATAGCCCCATAGCCCTATAGCCCTACAACCCTATGGCTTATAGCCCTATGGCCATATAGACTTATAGACCATAGCCTTATGGCCCTAAAGCCCTATAATTCCATAGCCCTATATCCCCATATCCCCATAGCCCCATCGCCCTATAGCCCAATATTCCCAAAGCCCTACAGCCCTAAAAAGCCTTTGACAGGGTTTTCTCCGGTATCATACTGTTCGGTGAGCTTTGCCGCCGATTTCCGCGGCCCGCCCGGGTGCCCGGGTGCCCAGATGCCTGGGTGCCCGGGTGCCCGGGTGCCCAGATACCCCGTTCGATAAAATCAAATCCGATCGTCTTCCACACTGAATCTTCAAGCTGTTCACCGGTGCTCTACTGTTGCGTGCCACATCGTAACATGGGCATTCACCTGCGATATTTGCAAGCCGAGACAACTGAGACGTTGCGCGTGCGTTGAAGCCTACCGCTCGTAGTAAGCCTGGAGGCAACAGGCCTGCTCCTGAGGGCGCGCGGCCGCCATGGCTGCCGAGGGCGAAGAAGGCCCTGAGAGCGTGCAATCCTCATCCTGTGAAAGGTGGAGGTTGGTTTTCTCAGTGGCTCGGGCCACCTGCAGGAGCAAGAGGAGGACAAGGAAGACCCCAGTAAGCACGCATCATTGATGCTGCAGTATACCCTTCTGTCCCAAGCCCCCTCATGTTCATGTGCCGACAACTGAAAATCACGACAGCGAGCGTTAGCTGGCAAGGTGAAGGTTCGGGGCCTACGTGGCAAGAACGTAGTCGGCCATGAAATGTCAATCGACGGTCGGATAGATATTCGATTGAGTCGTGTTCACCACGATGAGTTTGACACGGAACGGACCTCCATCAACGTAGTTAGTAGAAGGTTGCAGGAAGTGTTCGCGGCACCGAAGCATGTACCAGGAACACGATTTTGGCAGGGTGCCGCCCTGCATCCATCTGTGTAGCTACTGGTTGATCTAAGCCTTCGACTCAGGACGTGAATGGACATCCCAGGCGAGAACACAATTTTGAAACACATCCTTCCACATGCCCCCGATGTTGAAAGACGTCATGGTTCATGGCCATCAAGGTCGAGGACGTCTCTGGCAGTTGCCAGGTCTGAAACGCCCTGCCCATTCATCCGTGTATATTATTCCCCATTCTCTAGGGCAAGATAGTATGAGGAACTCTTGGTAGTTATCTCAATGCTGAAGACGACTGGCTATCCATCCGTGAGATTGATTGGCCTTCGAGCGTTCGGATGATATAATCTAGATTCAGGCAGGAGCATTTTTTGCAAAACACCAGTCCGCCCTCCGTATGTCCGTACACGCTCCAGGAGCGAACAAAACGTAAGGAACATCCAGGCGAGATGCAGATATTGAAAACGGTCTGTCTTCCATGCGTGTAGCCGCCAGGCCTCTGAGGCCCCACTGTCACAGTGTGCGGGGGCCTCCTCTGCGAGATTGGGACGCTGAACGCCCCGGCCCTCCATCCGAGCGGCTGCTGGAAATTTCCCGGCTTCCGGCCCACCGCGCTCGTGAGGGAGCCCCGAGAGGCCCGCCCAGACCGTCCTGCCGTCGCGCGTGGTCTTGTGGCGAGGAAGAGATACACTCGTACTAGTCCTCCCGTAGATGGACAAAAAAGTGGAACCCTTGACTCTGCCCCCTCGCCTCCCCACGCATTCAAGACATTCAAGAGCGCAGGCTTGAAAGGACAAAAAAAGTGGACCCCCCCGGGGCCTCCACCACGCCGGAGCCCAACTTTGAGTCGGGGGGAAGTGGGTGACGAACATGGTATCGACGATGAGTGGGTACCCTTTTTTTGTCTCCTTACCGTCCTTCCTATTCCCCTCGGCCCGAGTCCCGAGTCGTTCCGAATACTGGGCGACTGCACGTTTTTGCTTTCCTCACGGCAAAGATTCGTCGCGTATCATTCCTCTCAGCTTTCTTCCTTTTCCTCCCAACATTGCGCCAGCAGAACAAGCACAATCGCACTGGGCAGGGACAAGCACACAGAGAGCAGAGCTGGAGGGCGAGGGGAGGGGAGGACGAGCGGCGGCAAGTAGGGGGGAGCGCTGCGGCGCAGCGAGCTTCAGAGTCGAAGAGGGCGAAGACGGGAGAGGAGGGCCTCGGCTGTGCCCCCCCCCACACGAGGCGGGCGAGGCGCCTGGCGAGCCCAGCTGGCTCGGTGACTGGTGGGGCCGGGCCACGGCGGCGCTGGAAGACAGGCTGGCGGCCCTGCGGCCGCTGCCGGGAAAAAGCGCTCGCGGCACAGAGGTCCGTGGGGGGGGAGTTCTCCAGAAGAGCCACCGCATGGTGGGTCGATCCCCCAGCGGTGGTTCTACATCAGTTCTTGGCGCTTCGCGTTTTCCCACCAGCCCGCGCGCGGCGGTCGCTGAGTGGCTCAGCCTTCAGGGTGTCGCTTTAGTCCTACCTGTCTAATCGGCTAGGCTGGCTGCGCGGACTGGCGCCGACAGGGCGACTCTTCCGCAGCGTCTAATCGAGCATTTTGCTTACTGCATGTGCGTGCTCGCTTTCTTGCGGGTTTTTACTGCAGGTGCATTGCCTGTTGTAGCTAATTAGCTTCGCCTGCTGGCCCAGACGACGCCTACCGCTCCCTGTCCGCCGCCTCGGAGCCGCCGACCAAAAAAGTATTCCCACCAGCCCATCCGGAAACGACGCCCATGAGAGCTGACGGGGGGAGAGAGGAAGAGGCACGCATGGTCGAACAGCGAGGGAGGCTTGGAAGGCTCCGTGGCCATCTCGACGGGCCGTCTTGGAGCGGTCTTGGGGCCGTTTGGAGCATCTTGGGAGCCATCTTGAGCCAGCTTGGGCTATCTGAGCCATCTTGGAGGTCATCTTGGGCTCTCTGAGGCCGCTCGGGGGCCTCTTGGGGGCCTCTCGGGTGCCTTTTGGAGGCCTCCTGGGGATTCTTGGGGCGCTCTCTGGGCCCTCTTTGGGTTCTCTTGGGAACCCTGGAGGCCATCTTGGAGGCTATCGATCAAAAGAGGGGTTCCTTTATCTCCGTCACCCTTCGGGGGCCACGATCCTCGGGAGGGTGGCAAAACATGGCCTTCCCAGGGGCCGAACAAGGACGCTCTAACTCGTCGCGGCCCTTCCCCCAAAATCCTCAGGGAGGGCAGAGGGAGGGTTCCGCTCCCCGAAGGGAAGAGGGGTTGTGGAAGAGGAAAGAGACCCTCCTAATACCACCTGTCGCCCAAAGGGCTGGTGGGATATCGCCTCGCACGGGGGGTGGGGTTCGGGGTGTGGCAGGTTTGCGCCGCGTCGACGCGGGGGGCGCGGGCGTTCCAGTAGTGCCACCACGCCGCGCCCACAGGGGAGGGGGGGGGGCCCATCGAGCAGGGGGGTGGGGGGGCGATGGCATCAGCATAGGGGGGGGCGGGCCGGGACCCTGTATCACATATGCGCCGTCCGTGATCATCTTCATGTCCATGCCTTTCGTGGTCTGGGGGATCCTGCTGTCAAGGAGGTCAGGTGCCGGAGGAGCATCGTGTGGGGTGCCTGGCACACGGAGTCTGGCATCCGAAAGGCCAGCCTGGATCGTAATCTCGAGCTGTCCCATCATCTGCTTCATGGTGTCGGACGCATTGTTGTATTAATTATGCTCCTTCATCTGGTCCATCGTTTTTCGGTATTTGGGCGAGCAGTCTAGTCTGGATGATACCTTTGGTCTTTACCGTCTACATTCTTCTCACCGCAGCCACGAGAGTTTTCGGGTTGGGCGCGCTTTTCTTGTCCGTGGCGGTTTGGGCTCAAGCAATTTGAGGCTTAAACCACCTTTAGCTTGCGACTGCTTGCGCCATGTCCGTGATCGGGGGGCGGACTGTGCCGGAGGGGAAATTGCAGGGCGCGCTTTTCGATGTAGATGGGACGCTGGTCGACACGATGACGCGATGGATCCCAAGCTGGAACGACGCGGGCAAACAGTTCGGCCTGACGATGTCGGAGGACGACTTCTGGGCCATGGCTGGGTGGCCGGTGCCCGAGATGGTCAAGCAGCTGGTCCGCAACCAGAAGGGAGAGGAGGCGACCGACGAGTTCGTGGAGGAGTTCCTGAAGGCGAAGATGCTGGCGCACAGGGCCCGCGAGGCCCAGGATGGCACCCCTCCGCCCATCGCGCCAGTGGTTGAGCTGGCCCGGGCGCACGTGAAGGCGGGAGTGCCCATCGCGGCCGCGACCTCGGGCCTGCGCGACGCGGTGGAGCACCACCTCGGGGCCAACGGCCTCCTCGAGCTCTTCCCGCCCGAGAGGATCGTGTGCGCCGCAGACCTGCCGCCCGGGCGCGGGAAGCCGAAGCCGGACATCTTCCTGAGGGCCGCGGAGCTGCTCGGGGCGGCGCCGGAGCTCTGCGTCGTGTACGAGGACGCGGAGTCGGGGCTCCAGGCCGGCTGGGAGGCCGGCTGCCAGGTGGTCGACGTGCGAGACCTGCCGGGCTACCCGCTGTCGAGGGGCCTCGCGGCGGCCATGGGGAAGCAGCGCGCGGAGCGGGCCTGGCTGCAGCAGCCGACGGGCTCGGCCGCGGGCCCGGCGGCCCCAGCAGAGCAGCCGCTGGCGGATGCGGCCCGCGCGGGGCCCGCGTGACGCCTCCTGGCGAAGCGTGCCGGGGCGCCCTGGGGGGGGGGGGGGTCGAGCGCATGGTCGCAGGCCTAGAGATTGACTCCAACACCAATATCGGCGGTGTTCCTCCACCGAGGGAAGGAAGATCCCGATCTCGGCAATGGTGGTAATATTCTGGCTTCCAAGGTGACCGAAATATTACCACCAACACCGAAATCGAGGACCATCTCCCCCCTGTTGAGGCAGCCCCCTGTCTTGGTGTTGGTGCCCATTTCCAGGCCTCCAACAAGGGCCACCTTTGTCCGCTGCGGAGCGGTCGGTCGGCCAGGGAACCGCTCAGGGAACGCAGCTACCGGGGCAGCGCATGGCCGAACCCCCCCAAAAAGTCTAATCGTCGTCATTCGATGCACCCGCAGCTCCATGTCGTACCTTGCTCCTAGCATCGGTCATCATCATCGCATTTGTCATGACATCTGCCTGCTTTTGCTGTTCTGGGTCATCGCTTTTTGCTTCTTGGAGAGCTTCGCAGCTTTCTTGAGGTTCGTCTTCCGGTACATGCGATTGTCTTCCTTCCTTCTTGTACCCCCCTTGCCAGAACATGTTTGCCACGTTTGTTCTGCACCATGGAGCTCAGAGCGTACCCAGGCTTCACGACGTGCTCTGCTGCTGCCGTATCCACCGCCTTGGTAGTCATTTTGCGTGTGTCACCCACGCTTGCCACGAGCGTGTTTCTTTATATTGCTTGGGGCATAATGGGCATTACATGTAGCCCCCGGCCCCCCCTTCCCTCCCCCCTATTACGTAACGCCCCTCTCCCTTTAGTGCGCTCCGGGCACCGCCGCCGTGCGCTCGGCGGGGGGAGGCGTTACATTATGCCCCTCCCCCCCCCTGGCTCCTCTCCCCCCCCACCATAATGTCCATGATGGCTCGCCGCCGAAAGTAAAGAAACGCGCTCCACAGTTGTCGGAGCCCCTGCCGTCTGGCTGCTATCCTCCATGCCGTGCGCTGCGTCGTACGCCCCCCGTCTCGGGGCTGCGGCGGCCGCCTCCTGCACGACTGGCGCGCCCGCCGCGGAGGCCCGAGCGGCCTGGCCCGCCGCCTCGGCCTGGCTCGCAGCTTGCCATACGGCAGCCTGCGCTGCTGCCGCCACCAGGCTGCGTGGTGCTGCAGACGCTGTTGGCGTCGTGCTAAGGAGGAGGAGGAGGAGGAGGAGGAGGAGGAGGAGGAGGAGGAGGAGGAGGAGGAGGAGGAGGAGGAGGAGGAGGAGGAGGAGGAGGAGGAGGAGGAGGAGGAGGAGGAGGAGGAGGCGGAGGCGGAGGAGGAGGAGGAGAGGGTGCCGCGTCGCTCCGCCCGCGTGGTGCTTCCCCACTCTGTTGGCGCCGCCTGGGCGGCGGCGGCGGGCGTAGCGTAGGGCGGGCGCCTGGCGGAGCCTCGGCCGCTGGTGCGGGCCCTGGGCGCGGCGTTGCCGCTGGGCCTGGCCGCGGTGCGTCTCCTCTGTGCCCGAACCGGCGATGCGGGTGCCCCGCGGAGGAGGCTCACCCATCCTGGGGGGCGCCGCCGCTGCCTTGGCATCGCTCGGACGTGTGTATTTTTCCTCGGCGAGGACCGTCGAGGAGCATTCTGGGTCATCTTGCGAGACAATACACGCACGAAGTCAAACACACATGCACGGGGGATTGGACGTCCAAGCTATGGCGAGCTGCCGCTGGGGCCGTGGGTTGCGTCCTCGCTGTCGGCGGTGGCGCGACGCCTGGGCCTGGTAGCCCCATGGTGCTCGCTGCCCGTCGCCGCAGCCGCTGCCGCCGATGCGCTGCCAGTGTCCCCCCAGTGCTGAGGCTACCCTCGGTAGTGCTGCTGGTAGACCTGCGGTGGCACGTACCCTGGGTAAGCCTGCTGGTATGGCATCTTGTAGCCGTACGTCGTGCCTTGCATCATCTGACCTATCATCTGCGTCATGTGCATTATCTGTTCAATGACCTGCTGCCCTCCGCCGTGCCCTTCTCCAGCTGCCGTGGGTCGATCCTCTCCTCGCGCCGGCGCGTTGACCTGCTCTACGGCCACGCCGTCTGTGTTCCTCGCCGTCCCGTCGCTGGCGTCGTGGGCCTCTCCTGTGCCCTGTCGCTGCCGCTCAGCCAGCGCGGCGTCAGGGGCAGCGGCCTCATTGGTGATCGCCATCTCGATCTCCACCTCTTTGCGGTCGATCTCGCGTTTCTGGGTGGCCAGCTCTCACAAGTCCGCTTCCAGTGCGGTGCTTGGCTCGGTGCCCTCGGATCTATTGGATCGGTCTTAGCTCCGTCAGCGAGTAGCGCAGCATGGCCACCACCTCCGCGGTGATGTTGGCGCTCACGGGGATGTTGGCCCGCTGCTGGGACGTCATGACCCTGTCCAAGCGCTGAAGCCTCTGCTTGAGCTTGTGTCTCTGGTCACTCACCGCAGCAGCCGCCAGCGGGGGCGGCAAGTAGTCCGCGTGGGCGTGGGCCACGCCGCAGACAGGAGCTGGCAGCGTGGCTGGCTCTGGCCCATCCACTGCTGCTTGTCTGGCAACTGTATCTGCTACGAAGGGGTAAGGGGGGCGA